TTGCTTGCAGCTCTTGAGCAATGTTAGTTTGGCCTCCCCTGATGGAGGCCGACCACCTATTAGATGACCACCTGTTGCACAACCTTGTGTGGAAACATTCGTTGATTGACCAGTAACTGCATGTCTGAAATTCTTGGATTCTTTCTCAGCATTAACTGCTTTTCATAATTTTTAGATTGTTTTGGAGTGTCCTGATAAAATTTTACAAACACCTTGATGCTGACCATGATGATTGCATTTTTAAAGAGAGACTCACATACAGAGGCAGAGGATTATTGCTATAATTCAGATTGTGTCGATACTAAGAAGCTTCCAATAATAAAATCAGCAGGAAATTCTGCATGAACCTTATAAACATTAAGGAAACTATATTTCAAGGGAAATTTTCTGGAGTATTCCGAGAAATTCCTTAGAGTCATGTGCACTTCAGTTTCCTGAGGAATCATTGGTTAGGGCATTCCCCCACAAAACCTCATATGGTGTCATATGGTGACACTTGGCACAAAAATCTTGTATGAATAATTTTCTTGTAAACATTTTTACTATATTTTACATTCCCTTTTGTCTCCTGACAAAATCCTGATCATGAGACCCACGGCTAGACTATGTGACTTTGCTATACTCCCGTCTCTTCACTCTACATAATCCTCTTAGGTGCACACTTATATTTCTGCCGTAAATAATTTGTTTCACTTCTCTGCTTATTCTTCCATCTCTTTTACCTCTATCCCCCATAGATTGGTTGATCCTTTCTTTTTATCTTCCCTCCACAATCTTTAATTTATTTATCATAATTCACAGAAAGACCCACCATCTCCTTCTCATTAAAATTTGCTGATGAAGCCTTAAATTTTGTATGATTATTCAGAAAAAATTATGTATGAAAGGGCAAAGCCTGCGTCAGTCGAGCTGGAGTCCTATGCGAGCTAGGGTAGTTTATGTGGCTGTGCAAGAAAATGATCGATTGAACAGGTGAGTATGGGATAGCTGGAGATGACTTCCTGAATGTAATTATTGTTTCAGAGGTTAGATGGTACTGAATTGTGGTGATTATTAATTATTAAATGAACTCTCCAAGTGTAGGAATTATTAAACAGGCAAGAAATAAAAAGAAAGCATTATTCTAGTACATCGTTGCTTATGCAACTTTACATTTTAACATTTGAAGTGTTCCTCACCACAAAGTTTTATTATTATTAGTTTTATACTGATTTAATCATTCAAATCTATACCACCATGTGTTTTCTTTTACATACACATTGTATGCTGAGTACAGAGTTTCGGCTGAAGCTAAGACGTGTTTTGTACACCACTTATTTGTACTAACCTTATAATTGGGAGGAAACATGTGCTTCATCACAATAGGAACATTGCTGAAGTAGAGGTTTCAAGGAACAAATACAATTAACTTGGAAGTCTGCTTGCTTCTGGAAGGACATTTTTCTATGACATCTGTGCAGTAAAAAGCCCACAAGCGTGCTTCTAATTAAAAACGCACGCTATCCAGAATAGCGCGACCCGCAAAAGCGGTTCTTCCTACGAGAATGTGCCTTGTGGAACAGTTCGAAACTCAGAAAAGAGCTTGTACCCTGGAAGGAGGGTTTCCCCTTCTATTTGCTGTACGGCGGGAAAGCGGCAGACCAAGTAACTCGCAAGTGCGCTTCCCCTTGCAGGTATTTTCCTTGTGGGAAAGCGCAGAACCAGCAAATGTACTTGTCAGTTGCAGTAAGATGGGAAAGCAGTAGACCTAACGTTCCATAAGCGTGCTTCTCCCTGAAACACTGAGTTTTGCAGGAAAGCAAAAAAAAAACCCGCAAGTGCGCTTCACCTTACGAAGTTGTGTACTGCGGAAAAGCGACCTAGAAATACTTCATTATCTACATTTACTGCAAGAAATCCATGCGCGAATCTCATCCTCCGAAGAGCACTTATGGCAATAGGGCACATTGATTGACTGAACATGACTTTATAGATAACCAAATTACAGATTTCTCACTGGCAAAATTAAGAAAAGAAAAAAATCATTGATTTGATTTAAACTGTTTTCTCGAAATAATTTTTTGAGAGAAATATAATTTCTCTGAAAATAATAAATACACTAGATTCAATATGCAAGATCAACCAGAAACATATACTTTAGTCTGTCTGCCTGATTCTATACCTCTCTCTGCTGGTATTTGAGTTTGTATGCTTGCTCACGCACGCAGTTCTTTTGTTGATTCTAACCGTTCCCTTGTTTTGCTATACCTGAAGAACGAGCTGAAAAGTAGAGAGAGCGTTCAATTCTCCAATTTACTTTTGCCTCGAAGAAGTCTTATATTTGCTCGTTATCCGCATATCAATATTACTTGATAATTATTTTACATGGAATGAAAAGATAAATACACCTGAAAGCAATAAAATAGTTAAGGTTCCAGTGCTAAAATTAATGTTTTTTTAAAAAATATCTTATATCAAAATGTTTGATTTGAAACATCGGTATTCAAATCGTACTTGGGAAGTCATTCAATTACAGTAATTAAATTACTGTAATTTAATTACTTTTCTGGTAATTTGTAATTCATTACTTTCTGCTAAAAGGAGTTGCAATTGTACTTTATTTGCTTTCTAGCATCAGTAATTACAAACTTTGAGGCACAATTACAATTACTTTTGCAAGGATTTCCGGTGCCGACCGGAAATCCTTGCATCATCATCACTGATGACGACATCAGTGACGTCACCAACATCCGCATCGTCATCACCACTGATGACGTCATCAGTGACGTCACTGATGTGACCAGCATCCACATCGTCATCATCACAGATGACGTCACCGACATCCGCATCGTCATCATCACTGGTGACGTCATCGGTATCCGCATCGTCATCGATAACGTCATCAGCGACGTCACTGATGACATCATCGCCATTGTCATCGTCACGTGACCCCCCACCTCAGGTCACTCCACCCCCCCCCCCCCAGTACCCTTCCCTCCTCCTCCTCCTCAAGAGCTGCACTCTAATTCGGCGTTACAGGGAGTTGTAAACGGCTTTCACTTCTTTTTTCCAACTGTACAAAGAGCATGTTCCTTTACACCTATGTGTGTTACTTGGAAACTTTATTCAAATATTTAGATATCACTAATTGTCATTTTTACTTGCCTGGCTAACAAAAGTGTGTCAACCCAATTTTACTTTAGCGATCTGGCATCCTCCAGTATATGAACTGATTTATATTATTTAAGATATAAGAATGTAAAACTTCATTGCCCAAACTGTCAGGTTCTATTATTAATTTAACAAAATGTATAAAAGGAAAGTACAATATGTGACATTTACACAGCGATGCTTAAGCCTCCTCCGACACTGGGGCAAGAAATGAACAAATGCGTTGCATTCTAATTAACTGGTTTAAAGTTATGTGGCCCAAGTAGGGTCGGTTTCAGAAATAAGTAATTGTAAAGTAATAGCATTGGTTTTTAAAAGTAATTTGTAATTGCAATGAATTATTTCTCAGGTAGTAGTAATTGTAACTGTAGTTAAACTACTTTTGGAGCAAAGTAATTGTAATTAAATTACATTTTAGAAGTAATTTACCTGTATGATTAAAAATGTGGTCTAAATCATGATTTCAATTTAAATCAACTTGATTTTCATCTTCCATTCTGTCGATATGTGTCAGTGCATGACCATTGCCAATCATTTCATTTGCAGCATGCGACATTGAGCCCTCAATTCTTTATACGAGGGCAATGGGGATGGCCAATGGATGAAGATGGGCTGAACAAAATTTTTGCAACATTTTGTTGATATACTATTAGATAACTTTGCACTCTGTAGATGAAATTCGGTACGGTCTGCTTTTCTGGAATCGATCGGATGGACACTGAATCTACAAGTCGATTGAATCAGGATGTCCCATGCAGGGACCAAACTGTTTAATTTTTTTATAGCTAACTTACTAATATTGTAATATTGCTGCTTTTATGCTTCAAAGTGTAGATAAGTGGGTAGCACAAATGCTCAGAAAGAGTGGCAATGTCATGTTCTTTATATACTTCATTATAGTGGAGACAAGAGCTTCTGGAAAAGTATTTGCGACTCTGTGTAGGTGTCAATCAGGCAAAGGCAAACGCTGCCTTGTACCGCAGAGATGCGAGGAATTGTTACACCACTTTTCTTTGCAAATAACGATTTGGCAGGCTTGACTAGTCCAGAGATATCTGCAAACGAGTGGTCAGTGCTACAGCGATTGTACATAGTGCTGGCAAAAAAGGGCTGTCATTTGTGGCCCTCGAATTAGGAGGGTCAGCAACAGGTTTATAATAATCATCTTTATTTTGGGTGCCATCAGTCTTTATCTTGGATGCCCCGTGGTGCACCAAAACAAACAACAAAACCAGCAAACAAAAAAAATCCTAAACACACTTAAAAGTTAGCAAACAAGTAAATGTAAGATTATCCAAATGGCGATGGTACATTGCAACAGATGCAGATATATAAAGGTGAGGTGGAGCGATGGCATTAATGACTGAATCCGAGAGACGTGAGGTATTGCACAGTGAGCACACATAAAAGCATACGAAATGTCTGGTTACACATGAAGGAACATGAAACAGTTCAGCTCTAGTTTGCCTGTAGTTGTTTACAAAGGCATCGGTGGACATCTTCACAGACTCCTACTTTAAATAGGGTGGACATGCCTGCAAGAAGTTTTCCCACATCGCACCGGTGCATGTGAAAAGCACCAGCTCTTTTTTGGTAACCTTCTCCACGCTGCGCCGGTGCATGCGGAGAAATGCCAGTGCTCTCGCAGTTAGCTTTCTTACGTTGCTCTGGTGCACGCAGAGAAGAACCGGGCATTATTTGTGGAGTGATCAGAAAGGAAAAAAAGGGGCCCATGTGCGCTAGCTATTGTTGGGGCAGGATTGATATAAAATGCAGTGTGTTGATGTAACTACTAAGGTATAAAACAAATTGGCACCCCACCAAATGTAAGTAAACGACATCAAAATCGATTTGTAATGCAGAACAGTTTATTCACATTATAACACAAAATTCCGATTTCCCCGTACCACTTCAGACTCGGAAAGAATCATCGGACTGTGCAGCGCCTAGTTGTTGGTTTCTTCAGAGCCAATTTACACAAGTAGCAACTTGCTCAGTTTTCAAGGGGCCTTGTTTTTGGAGCCTTCTTGTTACCAGATGTGAGGCCCACAAACTTTTTGCTATAATTTCCCCAGCCTCTACTATGTGGTCAGATGAACAAAACTTTGCTGGAAAAGTCGGAGAATTCTGAAGAGACAACTTGGCAGACACCCCGAGATAATGCAGCACAATAACCTGTTCGGCACAGAAAATATGTTGCTATAAGGGTCTGGATCAAGAATGTCACAATTGGGAACCAAATAAGCACTCTTCTTTTATTTCACCACAATGGATGCTGAATCCATCGGCAAAAATGACAGGTTACTAATATGCAAACAAAATGAAGGAATTGCCCACAGGCAAACACTGTAGCGAATCAGCCTGCATGGTGGCTCATATGCAGCAAAGTGAGACAATAAATCATATTCATTATTGTAAGCTTAAAAGGCAGTAACCTGCTCGAGACTTCAAGCCCGACAAAATCATAAGCCTCTGTGTAGGCCTGGTTTTGCTGCTTCACACAACACTCTTCAATAAGTTCATCCTAACACGAAAAAGCCTGTTGGTCCGCGGGCACGAATGCCTATCCTGTGTTAGGAAGTTGCTTACACAACTTCAGTGGCACAATATATCCCAAGCTTTTGTTGCACTATTAAACCCCAATTATCATCCCACACAACTTCCTAGCACAGAACATTTCTCTATCCGCCACCCGAGAACGCGCTCTCTAGCGGTCAGGCTCCGCCGAGAGACCTAAATTTAATTAAAAAAAAAGAAAGATTAAAAGCATCATACATCAACAGTGAAAGTTAACACTTGTAAAGCAAGGGGTCACATCATGTCCAAATAATTGAGAAGCTGTAATGCTACTAATTAAAAAGTTAATTAACAAATTTTAGCTAATTAGCCAACTGATTGGGATGGATATTTCACCATACAATTTCTGCCAAGCTCAATAAATGAATGAATTAACACAGTAACAGTAGGAAGGTCATCTCAATTAAAAAAAATTAAAACATGTTGCAGATAGCTAAGGAGCAGAAATTCCCAGACATGTGGAGTCAACATCACGAGGCTTGAAGAGTTGAGAATTGAAGCTCAACCTCAATATGATCTAACAGTGCAGTCAAATTTTGATTTAAAAAATTCCTAGTAGGCACTACGAGGTCGAGAAATCGCACCCCGATACATGGCATCAAACTGAATCTGAAACGTGCAAGAGTGCCGGTGAAGTCATTTGCATACCTGCGGCCCGGCACGTGGGTTGGCGTCATCGCAGCCGGCTCCGCTTGAGCGAGTGGAGCCAGCTGCGGTAGCTCCGACCCACGTTTCCGCGCCGTGACACAAAGATGATGTCACTGGCACTCTTGTCCGCCATTTCAGTTATAGGTTTAGTGTGATGCCATGTACCAGGGTGACACTTCTCGACCCCCGTAGCACCTACCACAGATTTTTCGATCAAAATTTGACTGCACTGCTAGTTCAGTTTTAGTTCATTAGCTAACTAATTACCTAATTTCACCCTTTCCCTAGTGGACGCCATGACTACTAACACTGCCCCAAGGCTCAAATTACCCTATCTCACGTTCTCTCTCTCTGAAAATTTGGTGCAGCTAAAAGAAAAACACTGTACAAGGTTACTTGACAAAACAAGGTAGGCAATAACAGGGATAAACGCAAAGATAATACATAAAGCGGAAGGTACTGGAAGAAACCGTTGTTAATTAAAATAACCTCAGCTTATTCGGCATTTTAGCTGCAATACAACTTCGGCTGCAAACAAATGTCATGCCATGGTTGGGTTTTTTTTCTAGACAGGCTTCGTGAAAGAGAGATTGGCATCCTGCGCATTGAATTACCCCAGGAGCATCAGCAAGCAGAGGCTGCCTGCACAAACAATGCACGGTGAAAACAGAATCTTTTGGTCGCACACGAGAAACAAGGGAAAGAGTTACAGGGAAGTCTTCCATCATCCCATTACGAATGCACTTTAGTAGATGGCCCCTCATTAATTGCTGTCTAAAGTTTACAGTGGTAGGGTCTTTGCCAGATGCTATGCAGTACATGTTAGCAATAGCAAATAAGCCACAATCTACTGTGCAACCTTGGCCCTGTGCAGGTCTTACAAAAATAGTTACATTTGCAGATGGTAACTTAAGTATGCTGCACACCTGTTTTACAGCATCAGGGGGAACAGTTTGATCAAGAGAATCATAAACAAAGACAGAATCAGGGGGCACATCAATAGTTGTTACTGTGATCCAATGATCCGGGTTTGCTGTGTGTAAGATTTGAATGAATGGACCCTTTATCTGCTTGAATAGTAGTCCCTGGCTCAGCAAAGCGTCTTGGAAACCTTCCCGATGCGGAAATTTTTGACGTGTTAACTGCATTGCAATATTCATGACACTGTCTGGCAGCGGACGGTTGTATAATACATCATCCAAGTGTTCATCTGTTAGTGAATAAGCGCTATAAAGAGGAATCAACTCTGCACGAATCATGCTAAGACAAAGTTTTTTGTTGCAGATTTCTGACAATTTACGCTTTTTCGTGACTTTTACAGTTCGCGGTCTCCCTCGTTTACTTTTAATTAAACTAATACGCAGCTCTTCGGAAGGTTTCCTGTCACTTGCTGTGTCTGTTGGCTGTTGATCAGGCACATCCTTATGAGCTGCACGGGGTGCTACAGACTGTGACAAAAGCTGCACCTGGTTGCTAGAAAACGTTGTAAGATTGCTAAGGAATGTCTGAATATCTGTCAACTTTTCATTTAGCTCCTGTTCGCCACACTGGGCCAAGATGTTAGCTGTTGGTTTCACTATATCTGTTAAAAACTTGTAGGCATAATTATACCTGGCCTCAATGGTATCCAATTTTACAGGTGGGGGCTTCAGTATGGCTGATGTAACTGTGGTTTGGGTAGGCTGGCTTGTGCTAGACTGACTTGGGCTAGGTGGGTTTGAGCTAAGGGGGGTCGGGCTATGAGGACTTGGGCTAGGCGGGTTTGAGCTAAAGGGAGTTGGGCTACGTGGGCTCGGGCTAAGTGGGCTTGAGCTAAGCGGAGTTGGGCTACGTGGGCTCGGGCTAGGTGGGTTTGAGCTAAGCGGAGTTGGGCTATGCAAGCTTAGTGGGCTCGAACCAGCTGTGCATGGACCAGGCATGCTTAGAGGGTCGGTAGCTTCAGATGCTAGGAAGTGGCTCCTACGCCATCGATGCGGAATAACAGAGTGGTCAAATAGTTCTAGATTTGCAAAAGACCGTGCTGTCAAAATGTGGGCACATGGAAGTCCATATTGGGAATAACAGAGGCATGTGCAACTGTCTAGGCTTTTTGCTATCACATACTCTGTCCCTTCCAACTTAACAGTGTATGCGTCATTTTGAAAGCTAACAATATAGCGAATAGTCTTAAACTTCTCATATTCCCGTAATACTATATTCCTAGCTACCAGAGTGCACGTTTGAGCTAATGTTAGCTGGAACATGTCAAAGCTACTTGTATTTAAATTGAGCTTAAGCTCTCTAAGTTTTGCAAACCTTAGTGATATAATATCATGGTCAATATACTCTAGCAAAGCAGTCATCGCAGCAGCCAGGTGCATTCCTGGACGCAGGAAGCTTTTTAGTTTTTGATTATGGCTCTCAATTCGGTTGTTGGTATTATTCCCCATTGTTAGCAAGTCTCGGCGGCACGCATGCGCCCACATTTCTTTGCAGGAATCCCAATTGTTCATGAAGTAGAGCAAAAAATCGTCAGGAGAGTGTTCCCTCAACAGCGCAACTTTTTTGTCGTAAACAGACAGGTGATTGGCATAGACAACTTCTTTAATTAGGCGACGCAATAATTCCCTCTGATGAACTGGGTATTTCATAATCTGCAAGTCCAAGTAATGGAGAACATGCCAAGTGCATAGGAGAATGGTGCTTTTTGGCAGAAGCTCTTTCAAAATCCTTGACTGATTTAGGTCCTTATCTACCATAACAACTTTGCATGCTGAAAGTACAAAAGGATTACAATCTATAAACTTCTGAAAAACAGGGCGAACAATTAGGGAGGTTTCCCTTTGCAAAAACGCATAGCAAATGCATCGACCCCTACCACGAGCGTCTTCACAAAGAATTGAATAGAGAATGTAACCTTCTACGTTAACCTTATATGTCCCATCGATGAACAGAATTTCGGGATACTTTTCCAAAGTTTCTCGCATAACGGACGTCTGGAACAACACAAATAACAGCTCATTGTTTTTATCTTTTTCATAATGTATGATCCAATTAGGGTTCTTGGAGGCAAGACTATGCAATTGCTCTAACAACAGGGCCCCATGAGCCTCACTAGTTTTAACTGCAGTCACAGAATTCACACTACGGTTTTTGTAATTGTTAATGTCTTGTGTTGTTAGAGTCTTGCCTGTTTTTTCATAGACATAATTTTTGAAATCCTTAGGTTTAATATTGCATTTTGCTACATCTGCAAATGTCTCCTTCTCAGATGTAGTCAGAAGCCTGTTTTGGGGGTATGTGCTGCATAATTCCAGACTATGGTTATGTTCAACAACAATTTTTGAGATTACATAGCACATATCTGGCTTTGTCTTCAAAACTAACAAGAGGCGTGCCTGGCAACCTGAAAAATAATAAGACTGTTGTGGGCGCTTTCCGCTGCCCATGGCTGATAGAGGGCGTCCATGGACACAGATGAATTCAACTGAGGAGTATTTAAATTCCTCACACTGAGCTAATGGACATGTTCTAGACCTCCTTTTTGTAAACACATGCAACCCTTGTTTGCACCAATCCTCAAATGCAGCTAGAAAGGTAGAGTAGTTAGAAAACTTGGCCTGCGCAAAAATGACACCGCCACCTCCATACAAAGTACAGGATTTTGAAGGACTGGGGGCATTCTGCAGGTTACTAACGGCAGATCCAGGGCTTTTCTCTGGAACCTCGGAAGGGTACTTGACTCCCTGGGCAACGCACTTATCATCTGCAGCAACGCCTTCGCCTACATGATGCCCTCCGACAGCTATCTCTATGCTAGAGCCCTCCCCACAACCATCATGCTTGAGACATGCCATTTCTGAGAAAAACTCTGTCCCCGCGTCATGCCTTCTGCATGCAGTCACATAGTCAGCACCACCCCCATCATGACCACAGGGCGTAAACCCACAGCCAGGAGTACCCCCTGTATCATGCAGCACATGCTTGCCTTGTCCACCCTCCCCATCAAGCACAGAGCATGCAACCCCACAGCCAGAAGTCTGCCCTGCGGCATGCAGCACATGCTTGCCTGCCCCACTCTCCCCATCAGGCCCACAGCATGCAACCCCACAGCCAGTAGTCTGCCCTGTGGCATGCAGCACATTCCTGCCTTCTCCACCCTCCCTATCAGGCCCACAGCATGCAACCCCACAGCCAGTAGTCTGCCCTGTGGCATGCAGCACATTCCTGCCTTCTCCACCCACCCCATCACACCCACAGCATGCAACCTCACAGCCAGAAGTCCGCCCTGTGGCATGCAATGCATGCCTTCCTTCTCCACCCTCCCCACCATGCCCACAGCCAGAAGTCCCCCCTGTAACATGCACTGCATGCTCGCCTTCCCCTGAGACCCTTGCATCATGCTCTATGCCCGCATTCACTAATCCCATGCTGAAGCCCTGCTCTCCGTCATGCACTGCAGACACATTCTTTGCATGCGTGAGTGCCCTTCGACTCTGCAACAGGGCCTTCGAAGGACGTTTCCCTCCAACGACCCTGCTCTCTGTCACACATGCTGGGCTGCACTCACCTAAGTCAGAGAAAGGATTGTCACAAACAGGCAAAGGAGAAAGGGTTGAGAGGCACCCTACTGCAAAGTCTTCTCCATCCCAAGTAATAGTGGGGGACGCAATAGTGGCAGCACGGTTTGGTACCTTGCGCAGTCCCGGAGACTTTCGTCCCTTGCGCTTGGACTTCACCCTCTGCCACCGCTCTCCGCCCACTATACTTTGGATAGGGTAGACTACCCTGGGTTCAGCTGCTGCCGAGGCAGCCTGCTCACCGGCCCCTACAAAAGCTGTGCTCCTCGAGGAAGCCCTGGGGCGCCCCTCTGCACTAACTTCTGTACTCATAGCAACATCGGTGACTCCACCTCGGTCCAGCTTCGTAGGCTTCTCAGAAGGTTGCTGTCCTTCCGGCCTCGGCTGAACCTTTCCCCAAACAGGTACGCATGTACTAGAGGGAGCACAAGTGGCCGTGGATGCACTCTCCCAGGTCTGCCATACCCGGCTGCCCTTGCTGCGGACTCGAACGCCACCAACCAGCCTGAATCCAGCACCACAGCTTCCCATCCTGGGCTCATCAGAGTGCTTGCCTCGTTTGTGCCTCCGTTCAGCATTTACACATGTGGCAACTGGTTGGCTTGTGTCCGATCCGAGCTCGGGTGCCGTGCTGGCAGTTGGGACAGGAGGGCCTGCAGATTTTGACATCTCTGCCCAGGTGGCCCTCCGATCAGCAGCTGCCTCACAAGGCGCAAGGGTGGTCTCAACGGAAAGAGCAGGAGAAGCAAGGAGGGGTTGCACAGGAGAGCCAAGCAGCGGAAAGTCAACCTCACATGCCATAATTAGTGGCGGGCTCTTCACGGAAGGAGCAGCAGAAGCAACAGGAAGGGGTTGCACAGATGCAAGAGGAGGAGGCTGCACAGAGCAAAGCGGTGGTGGCTCATCCTCGCATGCAGAAGGAGCAGCAGAAGAAAGAGGAGGCTGCACAGAGCAAAGCGAAGCAGCAGCAGAAGTGAGAGAAGGAAGCTCCACAGAGCAAAGCGGAGGTGGCTCATCGTCGCATGCCGAAGGAGCCGCAGGAGCTGAAGGAGAGCCAAGCGGTGGGAACTCGAGCTCACATGGCGCGGTCAATGGGGCACCCTCGATGGTCCAGCCGTCCCACGAACGGGTCCCTGGCATTGCCTCCATGTGGTCCTGCTGGATCTTGGCCCTGGCCATCTTCTCCAGGATGCTCCGCACTTGCTGGCCCATGAACCCAGCGAGGACCTGCACACGGTACTTGACATTAGCACCAAAGCTGATTGGCAGCTGCAGTCACCTCACTTGTTCAAATTGTTAAAGATGTTGCCTTGAAGATTTCACAGAAAAGGTGCTGCACCTTTAGCTTTATATACAAGGCACCTATGCCAAAACGTCTAACTGGGACCGGTTGGCATCTCGACTGGTTACAATTGGAACTAACTGGTCCCAAGTGGGAATTGGCTGTTACCAATAGGAGTCCAACTGGGACTAGCTGAGGGTCAACTGGCTTGACTATGCCCAGATGGGGAACGGGTATGGGTAAGTGGGACCAGTTAAGGAGTTAACTGGTTAGAGGGATTCCCAAGGGGGAGTTTCAATTGTTTTCCCATTCCCTGTTGGGGTTCACATGCTGCGTCGATTTCGACAAGATGGGGGTGTATTGATCTTTGCTAGTGAAGGAAAAAAAAACTTAAATTTATAGATTTACAGAAATAAATAAACCTTTAATTACTAGGTATACATTTATGTATTTAAAAAAATATTTCAAATTTCAATGTACATATTCTTTTATAAATTGCGATATAGTTAGTGGCATAAAAAATGTTTACTTAAATCAACATTTATGTACATGTATAAAAATGTATTAAACATTGAAGCAAAGACCTACCCTTTGTTTTTTAATCGCACCCAGCAGGTTGCAGTGACGCACACGCAGATTAGTTTTACGCACTGTCGACAGATGGCACATGTGACGCAGTGAAAAATCACCAATCATGATTTTTAACGATGATGAAGTTAAGAGGCTGAAGGTACAGAATATTACAGTTGAGAGAGCTAGTAAATACAAGTATCTAGGAGTATGGATATGTGATGGTGCAGAATATCTCAGTGAGCATGAAAAGTATATAATAGGTAAGGGCAACAGAAATGCAGCTGTAATGAAAAATAGAGCACCTTGAAATTACAACAGGTATGAGGTGGTGAGAGAGATTTGGAAAGGGGTCATGGTGCCTGGCTTGACTTTTGGAAACACAGTGATATGCATGAAATCCGAAGTGCATGCGGGACTAGAAACAAAACAGTGCAGAGTAGGTAGGCTGGCTTTGGGGGCACATTGCAAAATGCCAAACCAGGGAGTACAAGGAGACATGGGGTGGGCGTCATCTGAGAGCAGTGAAGCGGTGAGCAATATAGAATTTGAGGATCGGTTGAGGCAAATGGACGGGGAGCAATGGGCACGAAAGGTTTTCAGCTATTTATACATGAGGAGTGTAGACAGAAAGTGGAGACAGCACACTAGAAAATTAAGAGAAAAGATTTTAGGCTATAGTGGAGATACGGAAGAGCAAGTCTCAGTTAAAGGGGCCCTGCAATGACTTTTTTACTAATTTTTAATTTGCACCGAACCTGAGCGCGCTGAACGTAGTAACTTAGTGAAACTTTTCTTTTCTCAAAATTCCCTTTATTTTAAAAGTTATAGGCGAACTAAAATTACAAAGACAAGCAAAAAATAACCCCCCTCATGACGTCCTTGGTTGCTTGAGTGTGGCCCTGAACTAGAGGAGGAGTAGTGAGCTCATTGAGCGCTCACGGCTGCCGCACTCCGTGTCGACGGCGCGAGAGGGCGCCATCAAAGCGTGTTCTGGATAGGCTGCATGCAGCGGGCAGCCAGAGCGGCTCTCATTGCATTTGCTGGACGATTAAATACTAATTCGGCATGACACTTCATTGGCCACAAACGGCAGCAAACACGGGGTAAATGTCAGTTCAGAATGAGAGCTACTTTGCGCTGCCATACCGCGAAATAGCCAAACCGCAAGACAAAGCTTCTCGCCGAAGGCCTTCGGAACGCTCGGAGCCGGTCGGATCCTCCTGCCCATACGACCGCAGCGCCACCGCGTACATCCGGGACCTTTCCGTGTCGGCGCCTGATCCCACTACTCCTTTCTAGTATGCGCCGCCTTTTCCACCGCTTGGTGGCGGGTATGTCGACAGGTCATTTCTTGTTTCCGTACTTTATGAACTGCATTCGTTTCTTTTTCTATCTAAAATACTGAACAAGAACTACTTTTATAAATAATGGAAATGGTTCGCGCCACTTATATTTTCTATTTCGACTAAAAAGAAACTTTAGCAGCTTTGACCAGTAGTAAGCCCAGGACCAAAGACGTCACATTTCGCGCGCTTTCGGTACCGCAGGTCGCCCTCGTCGGTGGCGGAGGTTTCCGCGTCGTCCGGTTAAAATATGACGCACTGATATTTAGTTACTCTCTCCGTGCCCGCTGGCTTGCCCGAACCGCAAGAGACATGGAAACCGCAAAAAAGGTAGACGCTTAAGTATGATTGCAGGGCCCCTTTAAGAAGAAAGTTAAGGCCACAGAAAGAGATCGGTAGCTAGAGGGAATGCAGACAAAGACGGCTCTTGAAAGCTATAGATTAAACAAAACAGTTATTGCCAAAGAAAGCATTTATGACAATTCTAGGGGAAGCTCATTGTTGTTTGAGGTAAGGGCATTCAGCGAACCAGAACATACAGAGCGAAGTACCAGGAAATGGATACAGTGCGCACTGCTTGTGGAGAGGAGGACGAGACGGCTGAGCGCTTGATACTCTGCTGTAAAGGGCTTCATCCTACGCCGACCGAAGACAACATAGATTTAATAAGTCATTGGGTTTGAGAAACAGCGAAGGAACAGTGGATTTCAAGACAGTAGAGGTTACCAAGCAAAGATTAAGTGAATGGTGGCAGCAAGCGAGAGAAAACTAGGTATTTTCTTATTAACTGATGGCAAGGGTGTTTTATAGCCTCACTTTCTGTGCAGTGCGGAGTGAATATAGCTTTCAAATTTAAATATTCTAAGCTTAAATGGTAAAACAAAATGGCTAGGTGGCGCAAGCTACCGCCCGATCCAAAGGGCTCAGCCGGATTCATCCATTCATCCATCCAGTGGTCGGTAGAGAAGGGAAACCATCGCCGAGGTTGGTGTATTGATAAACGTGTCGTTATGAAAATGTCAAAACCATATCTGCGCTTCTTGCGACCCAACTAAATACGCCATGGTGGTCACGGTGAACTTCGAGGGCAGAAAGATGCAGTTCAGCGACCGGAGGGCACCCAGGGAAAAACCAGACGGAAGAGAAAACAGCCGCGGAGGGCACAATGGTAAAAATGGCGGAAAGTCTACCCGAACTGGCAGCTGTTGTGACACAAGCAATTGGAAATGTTTGATTGTAAGGTGGGAGCGCAACCGCATCCTATCGGGACTTCACCTGCGCAACGCGGAAACACGGGTGAGCACCTTTCTTCACGCGATGGAGAGAAGCTAGGGACGTCGTCACGGATGCTGACAGACGCCAGCGGCTAATCTTTCACCTCGCACGAATATTAGCTCTGGGCGATTCAATCGTCGCAATCAGCTAACGAGGCAACTGAAGCGGTCCTTAGAGCTACGCTGTGCTTCCTTGAACCCGGAAACGTGGACGTCACCGAACCTATTTATTTTCATTCTCTGTTTTTGACAATAAAGACTGGTCAACCTTCCAAGTTGTGCCGTGTTTCGTTGCTGGAGTTGGCACCGTTCTGTCAACCAGTTGAATCCAACCAGTAATTTAGCTCGCCACGTGCGCAGGTCAATTTTCAGTTCCCCTCTTTACGGCGAGCCTTGCAATCGTTGCCGCCCTATATTCGCGCTCTTTAGTGCAGCGACATAACGCACGTGTACATACCTTGTTGCCGATCCGGCTTGGGTGGACGCCGTCGCGGCCGATCCACTGGTGCCACTCGTCAGCCAGCCCGTCGAGGAACGTGAACCCTTCCCTGCGACACAACTCTCGCAGCAGCGAGTTCACCTCTCGGTAACGGTCATTCAAAGCCTCGATCTCTGCAGCGTGACTACGCTGCCATTCCAATGAGCAGAACCTATTCTCCCGTCTCGGAAGAACGGCAGAAAAGGCGATCTGCATCATTGGATTGCGTTCACAGATCTGGGCAGCTAGACGACGATATTTGTCGATGTACACGCTGGCACTAATATGGGAATTATTAGTGCCAACGTGCAGGATGACAACATCAAAATCGGGTAGCCTCTCAGACACCTGGGAAAACAAGTGCTCGATTCTAATACCACTAAACGCCGCAACCTCAACAGCCAACCGACTATTCAATGGGAAGTACTGGGGCAAGTACTTCACCATCGAATCGCCGGCTACCAAAACTCGAGGCATGTTGGGGGTGCGATCAAAGCTAAAATACAAAGAGTAGCACTAGATACGGAAAAAAGTATTGCTAAAAAGAACAAGACAATGCTAAACAAAACGCTTCAAAGAGTGCGAAAAATCAGCCAAAATAGCTTGCGTGACCGGAGCCGACAGCAGCGCGGGCAGGAAGGAATGGTACGTGCAGCACGGGGCAGGACCCGACCACAGAAGACTACAGCTGCTACAGCGGCAAACGCACATGGTCGGGCACATGTCATAACAAAGGCAACATCCGGGGCCGGGGATGATACGTTACTTCCGGCGTCGAAGGAACGATTTCCACACAGCCGTCTCTCCTCCGACGCGACTACGTCACTTCCGGCGTCGGAGGAACGATTTCCACACAGGTCCCACTCCTCCGACGCCCGTCGGAGGAAGCACTTCCTTACCGTATAGACCTTTTCACCCTCCGCCGCATGGGCGCTGCCATATTGGAATCACGTGACGCGGCCGCCATTAGGTTGCTTCAACTTGTTGCTCCGCTTTCGCGTCCGCGCCTTGGCGGATGCGTTGAATGCGTGTTTTTCGTCGCGTTTCACCGCGTCTCTTGCCTTACTCCGTTAAGTGTCGTCCGATACTCACACTTACCATGCAATTGCATTACATCATTATGCGAGGAACTTCTGTAGTTGATTTTGTAACACGTTTTGAATATTTTTTACTGTCGGCGTGCGGGATACATGTGATAAGGTTTTATAGGAACAGTAATCAGGCGTTAGCACTTGCGCACATTGAATACATATATGACTTAAAGAGAGCCTCGAGGGTTCAAATACCAATAACTTATGAGAACTGAGGTTTGGTTACTAATAAGGGCGGAACATTTGCAAGAGGAAGCCCAATGTTATTATATGTGTGAGAGTGCATAGGTGTCAAGGAAGGAAACAAAAACACTCAGCATAATTAGCCACGTGTTTTTTCTGAAAGCATGGTATTTTGTAGTTACAACATTTCGAAAACAGTTTCTTTTGATTACACTATGGAACTTGTGGACAAGATGCGGGAACAAACATTTAGTTTGAATTATTTTTATGCTAGAAATAATGGTACCTTAACATTAGGCACCTTGTTTGTGGGCAATATCACACCTATATCTGTTTTACGTTCTTAATCGCGTGTGCGATGTAAGCATTCGCTTATTGTATATCGTGCTTGGTCCCATGTCTATAGTCTTTCAGTTGCTTAAATCATTTTTTAATATAACCATGCAGTTTCAACTAATTTATTTCCACACAAATATTCGAACTCCCCGCGTAAGAAACTGTCACATACAGCTTGATAGTGCCTATGATTCACAAAATGTGACGCCGAAAAGAATCCTTCTGCATGAAAATCACCCGAGTGCAGCCGGTGGTCGACGGCGAATAGGGGGTTATTTTCAGTAGCTGGCGACGTCAAAATGTGCAAAGCGCATCGTTTCAAATCAGTGAACAGCTTTCTACACAGGTACATTGGGCGGCGCCAGGCGTTCGACTTCAGCCAAACTTATCAGAGATCATTTCTTTTGCGCTCTTCAATTTCATTCGGCAAATTTTACGGAAGATGAATATCAGACTTTATTTGAAGTCTGGCATTCATTTATCTTACCATTCTCATAACTTGAGAACGTCGTAAGCAAATGTCCATATAACAAAAAGTTTATTTTATAAGGCCAATATTTTGAAATGCTGTAAATGAGTACTTTAGTTAAAGAAATTTTCTAGTCAGCCTAGGCTGGTCTATCAAAATATCTCTTGAGCGCTTAATTTCTTTGAATAGAACAGGCAGGGACAATATCACTTTTCAATATTATCTACGTGATTATATGAAACTTCTCTAGTCATTATAAGAAACGTTTCCAGTCTCGAAGTTAGAAAAGGTTGGTGTACGGAAACCAAACATCAAACAGTAAACTTGTCAGTTCATCTGTTCTTGGTGATTCAGCAGATTGGTAATCATGTTGTCGACCTGCTTTTTCACTAAGCACTCATGCAATATAGTCTGTTGCAATATAAGATGATGAGTTCAATATCTGACTTGAGCGCGAGCTATCTACCTTCCGTACCGCTCGGTGCACGCACAGCCAAAGCACGGCGGCAGGCAACGAGCGCACGCTGCAGGCGGAGCTTGTCCTGCTTTTAATTTTTTTTCTTCTTGAACTTAGTGTCCGCGGGTAGGGCAGTGGACAATGGTACTCTCCCCAGTGCATCAGCGCAGCTGTTTCACCGCCGAACCTGGCCGAAATTAACGATGGACGGAATCAGACGCATATAGTGTTCGTAAAAAAAAGATCGCAATTTAGGCTCGAAACCACTTCGTGATATGCCAAGTGGCTTAATACTATTGTTTCATTCGATGTGTTCTACTAGAAAGAAATTCATATCGCAAAATTAATCGAAAGTGGCATGAAACAGCATCACAATCGCGCGCACGTTGAAACCGAAACCGACCAAATTGAAGCAATGGATGGATGGATGGATGAATACGGCTGAGCCCTTTGGATCGGTCTGTAGCTTACGCCACTTAGCCATTTTGTTTCACCATTTAGGCTTAGAATATTTAAATCTGAAATCTATATTCACTCCGCAGTGCAAAGAAAGTGAGGCTATGGAACCCCCTTGCCATCAGTGAATAAGAAAATACCTAGTTTTCTCTCGATTTCTGCCACCATTCACTTAATCTTTGCTTGGTAATCTCTACAGTCTTGAAATCCACTCTCCCTTCGCTCTCTCTAAAACCCAATGACTTTATTAAACCTATGTTGTCTTCGGTAGGCATAGGGTGAAGCCCTTTACAGTAGGGTATCAAGTGCTCAGCCGTCTCGTCCTCCTCTCCACAAGCAGTGCACACTGTATCCATTTCCTGGTACTTCACTCTGTATGCTCTGGTTCGCAGAACACCGTTCCTCGCCTCAAACAGCAATGAGCTTCCCCTAGAATTGTCATAAATGCTTTCTTTGGCAATAACTCTTTTGTTTAATCTATAGCTTTCCAGAGCCGTCTTTGTCTGCATTCCCTCTAGCCACCAATCTCTTTCTGTGGCCTTAACTTTCTTCTTAACTGAGACTCGCTCTTTCGTATCTTCGCTATAGCCCAAAAACTTTCCTCTTAATTTCCTAGTGCGCTGTCTCCACTTTGTGTCTACACTCCTCATGTATAAATAGCTGAAAACCTTTCGTGCCCATTGCTCCCCATCCATTTGCCTCAACCTATCCTCAAATTCTATCTTGCCCACCGCTTCCCTGCTCTCAAATGACGCCCATCCCATGCCTCCTTGTACTCCCTGGTTTGGCGTTTTGCAATGTGCCCACAAAGCCAGTCTACCTACTCCCCGCTGTCTTATTTCTAGTCTCGCATGCACTTCGGATTTCATGCATAGCACTGCGTTTCCAAAAGTCAAGCCAGGCACCATGACCCCGTCCAAATCTCTCTCACCACCCCATACCTGTTGTAATTCCAAAGTGCTATATTTTTCATTACAGCTGCATTTCTGTTGCCCTTACCTATTATATACTTTTCATGCTCTATGAGATATTCTGCACCATCACATATCCATACTCCTAGATACTTGTATTTACTAGCTCTCTCAACTGTAATATTCTGTATCTTCAGCCTCTCAACTTCATCCTCGTTAAAAATCATGACAGCTGATTTTTCGCTACTGAATTCTAAACCTAATTCCTCTCCTTCGCTACCACAGATGCTCATTAATTCCTGCAACTCTGTCCTGTTGTTAGCCATTAGTACGATATCATCCGCATACATCAATCCCGGTAAGGATTGCTGAATTTTTTGGCCTAGCTTACTGTAAGAAAGGTCGAATCCAAGCCCACTCTTCTCTAGTCTATCCTCCAATCCTCTCAGATACAACATAAACAGCAAAGGCGATAACGGGCACCCCTGCCTAAGGCCTCGTCTTATCTCTATTTTCCCTGTCGCCTTTCCTTCCCATGTTATAATCACCTTGTTATCTTTGTAAATGTTCCTTAATAGTGCTGTTAGTCCTTCATCTAGGTTTAAGCTCTCCATTATGTCCCACAGGTTTCTTTGGTTCACATTGTCATAGGCACCCTTGATATCCAGAAATGCCAGCCAGAGCTGTCTGTTTTCTTTTTGCGCTATTTCTATACACTGTGTTAGAGAAAATAAATTGTCCTCCAACCTTCTTTGTTTCCGAAACCCGTTCTGTAACTCGCCCAGTATGCCCTCGCAGTCTACCCATTCCTCCAGTCTGTTCTTTATAATCTGCATTACCAACATGTAAATAACCGGTGTAACGGTTATGGCACGATAATTCCTCCTAATATCAGACTTATCTCCCTTTCCCTTATATATCATACTCATCCTACTAAGCCTCCATTCATCTGGAATATTTCCTCTTGTTATCATGGTACTCACTACCTCCCTTAGTTTTGCCTTAGGTTTAGGACCCAAATTCTTCACCAGCTTGATAGGGATACCATCTGTGCCTGTCGACGTGCCACTAGGGACTCTCCGTTCCGCCTTTTCCCATTCTCTTTGTCCAAAATCCGCGATGTCACAAACTGGACTGCTACTCCCTTCGGTTCTCCTATCTTCCACATGTACCCGTTCCCGAAATTTCTCCTCCATCACTGCTCCTATATATTGTATTGCATCATCTCCCTCTAATTGATCTCCCTGATGCGAGAGTATGAACCTCTGTCTAGCTTGCGTCGTTTCACCGAGTGAGTTCAAGTGCTCCCAAAACTTCTTGGCAGCGTTTCTATCTTTCTTACTTGCATCACTCATCCATTCCTCACCCTTTCTCTGAATTTTCGCATTGATCAAACTGGATGCCTCTCGGCGACATGTTATAAAATTGTCCCATTTTCTTTTTACTTCCGTTTCGGACTCCCCACTACGCTTGGAATACCTGTGTTCTCTAGAGGCTTCCTGACGTTTTTGTATCGCTTGCTTCACTTCTTTGTCCCACCAGCGTTTTGGTCTATGTCCTTGCTTCCCCTTTCGTTTACTCTGAACTTTGTCTAGTTCTAGAGCAAAAAGCCTAGTTCGGCTCTCATAGGTCCAATCTGTATACCGTTGCCCTGAAACTGCTGCCTCTATTCTTTCAACAACTATTTCCAACTCTTTGTCGCTGCAGAAAGTTTGCTTTGAATTATGTTGTCTAGTTTCAGCATTTACTTCTCTGGCACAGAACAGCAGCGCCATGGTGTCGTCTACGCGCAAACTCTTCACAAAGCGGATGCCGCTCTTGCCAGTACAACCCCCTCTAGAACACTGTAATAGACCGATCTCACCAGCCAGTTTGACTACGCCACCGCTGCCGCAATGCATCGAGGGAACTTTAGTACTTTTTCACGCGCAACAACCTTGCTGGAGCTC